TAAGGCCCGTTTACACTAGCGGAACTTTGGTCCCAAGAAGCGTAAGCTAACGTCCTAAGAAACGTAACCTAAGTCGAGCGGTTAATCTTCAAAGGGAATTGACGTAAACCCAAGAGATGGAAAATTTTAACTCCGAACCTATGAGATGAAAGCTTTGGCCAATCACAGACTTACAAACTATCACGAGGGTTTTGTTGATGCTTTAAGCGAAAAACATGGCGGAAGATTTGACTACGTCTGACTGCAAATTAATTGCAGAAGTACAACAACATCCGATTTTATGGGATAATAGAAAAAAAGAATATCGAATGAAAAGAGGACAAGACGTTGCTTGGCTACTGGTTGCCGAAAGACTGAACCGAGATGGTATGTATCCATTTATTTATTTTTTTGCTCCTTTCGGATTGCAATGTGCTCTCTTTTATTCTAGTTCTCTTTCGACTAACGCAATTGTTCAAGTACAAAATAGGTTTATTAACGATTACACGATAAAAATTTGTTGACATATATTAAATTATAGCATTTTGGAACATTTCTGAAAATCTGAGTTTTATAAAATTTAAATAAGCTCAGTAGATGGATTTTTTTAAAATTAAAGTTTATTAACTGCTTTAAACTGTATCTAAATGTACACTGTTCTATGAAAATTATATGCAGCAACCTTCAATTATATATATTTAAAATTTTTCCCAAATTATAGCAATTCAAATGATTACATAATTTTAGCTATTGTCTTTACATTAGTTTGCTCTTCTTTTTTGCAACATGTTACTAAAGGCTTATGAGAAGAAGAAAGTAAAAGTAGTAAGTGTGAAGATCAACAGTAGTAAAAATTTGATTAAAGTTTTCCTCCTCAATTTTCAGAAATACATTTTCTTCATTTCTCATGCAAATGTTTATTCCGAAATACATAAAAAATCCCTAAATATATAAATATCCATATATAAAAATATATAAGATCCATATTTCATTTTCGTATGGATACATTTTGAATCTCATATAATTAATATAATTGTTTGCATAAAAGTATTAATAATTAAACAGTAATTAATTACAGTGGTTGAATTAAAATTTCGGCTATATTTTTTTTAATTTCACAGTTGAAGAGGTTACTTACCGGTGGCAGAATCTGCGTAAGCAATATAGCCGAAGAAAAACAAAATGCAAAAGTGGAGCTAGTGCAGAGTCTGCAGAGCAGCAATGGCATCTGATGCCCCAAATGTCATTTTTGGATCCATGTATCCGCCATCGAAGGTAAATATTCAGAACCAAATTATTTAGTTATGTTAAATATAAAATGATAAATTTTCATATTAACAAAATACAATCTTACTTGTTAGTAGTCTGTAATATTATAAAGCATAAATGGATTATTTGGAGTTATCCTAGGTTGACTAGCAATCAAAAATTGTAACTTTATTGATATAAATTTATTAAATATGTTAGATAGTCACATATGTGGATATAAACCAATTTACTTAAGAAATTCCTCCCCTTAGGCAGATAGACCTTATATGCTTTGCCATAACTCAAATTCTATCCAAATATTTATGCTCTGGAAAACAAAAACTTCTCCTACACAATTTTTTTTTACCATTTATTGCCTCATCACTCGTTATGAATGGTTTAACACCTTGTAAATGTGTTATAATAAAACTGTATTACACATTATAGTTTTTTTCTAACGTGTTTGGGCCAACTGAAGTTCTTACCCATAAAAAATGTTGTAGAAACTTTGCTGTTCTGTACTTTTTTAATCTTCCCAATTAAAAATAGGCCAATATTTTTGCAATGTAAACTTATTAACAAAGTACAGCATATGCATAATATAAACAAAGCACTTGCTCTTTCCTTTGAAAGCTGAGTTTCTAAATATTTTGATGAAGACTCGTCTGTATATATATTTTTTTCTTTTTGTGGCCAATTTCTTTTTATAGTTTATCCCTCTATAGTTGATGCCCATATTTCTGTACTCACACAGCTCAAAACTGATGTGTTACTGACCATTTTGATGTTCAGAAGTTAGTGTTTGAGATTATGCATACCTGCTTTAATTTTATGAAGTTACTTTGCACTTAACACATAAAGCCTGGGATTAATTATCATAATATATATACCATCAGATCAAGGAGTTGTGCTTAAATTATTACATTAATTCATAATGAAAATAAATACAAAAATATATATGAAACTGAATTAAAAAATGAAGTTGTAATACTTTATTACTGAATTAACTGTTAAAATCTTTCATGGCATGAAATTTTTCAAAACAGTCCCCAAAGTATAGTGATCTTTTTTTATTTATAGAATGTGAAATGTGTAAGCCAAGATTAGATAAAATTTGTCTTAAACTGTAAGATACAAAAAATTTGATAAAATTCTCTTGTGATTGTGTTTCTATAAAAAGAAATAAGAGTTATTAGTGGCTCAATATTTTCATTTATTACGTAAGGGCTTTGTATGCATATTCAAAATTTCTTCAATGAAGGCAAGAGATTCTTCTTTTTCATCTAAAATATTGATTTCTTTATAATTACTATATATACTATATACTTTATAATTACTATACTCTTTATAAGTCATTTAAAGTAATCTCTATTTAGGGCATACTACATTATTGTTACTGTCAAAAACACTACTGTCATCACAACTGTTAAATTGCAGCCTCCAATAGTAATATTTACATCCATGTTATTTAACTCATAATCCCGCTGATCTTCACTACTATAAATTTGATTTTCTATGGCATTAATATAAATAAATGTTACATTATAAATAACATTTATTTGGATTAATGAGAAGGATGAAACTGTTTGTGCTGAGATGACAGATTGTCATAATTTTAATCTGAGATGCGATTCCACGTCCAATAATCTGTTCCATTTTTTCGTCTTAATGTCTACAAATACAGTCAAATACCGAAAATCCGCCAACTCCTGAAATCTGCGTTGCCTCTCAGAATATAAGCATTCAGTTTATATTCTGAGTTTCTTGGTTTCGGAAACCGCAACATTGAGTACGAAATATCGAAGAAAAAATACTTACCGAATAATGACGTCATAATAACTGAATAATAATGAGTCATAATGGAAATACAAAATTATTGACATAAAAAGTTTAAGAAAAAAGATAAGTTTTTTTCCTTCTAATCTGCATCGAGGTAAAAAAGCAGACGATTCACTCTTTGTTCAAGTTCAATAGACGATTCACTCTTTGTTCAAGTTCATGATTCACGTTGTTGTATTTTCTGAGCTTTGTTATTTCACGAGATTGTTTAGTGCTGCCTTTTTTTTTATCCGGATATTTTGTGGATAAATTAAGAATATTTTAAATTTCAGCCCTTGTTAATACAATGACAGATTTAATGCATATAATAAATTATTGCAGTAATGTATGTAATTTAATTAAATGTATCTAATACACCTTATTTATTTTGCACCATACTTCGGAAAATAAATTATTCATGTCATTTTGCCTTCTCCATATTTGTACGATAAAATTATTAGTGAGTAAATATGACAATTCGGTTGTATATTGCAGTACAAAAGATTCAAAGAGTGATGATGATTTCACCCCTCCCCATATTTGATAAAATATTATTTTAATTAAAAACAAAATGTGATCCAGCACTGCTCCAAGAACGTAATGACTAGGAATTACCCCATACAACTGGATGTAACAAACTGTATTTTTTTAGAAATTATTCTTGCAAATATTAATAAACACAAAAGATTATGTAAGAAAAGAATCCAATGGGATGTTATAATTCAAATTAACAAAAAAAGCTTTTTAGTTTCAGGTAATCACACTGAAGCAAGAAGACTCTTGGTTTACATTATTTTTCATGCTAAATTTTAAGATCTATTTAAATTGTCTGCTGTTCATAAGTAAGAAAATTAAAAAATAAGCTATTTAATGCAATAACAAATAAGATTCTAAATTTGCTTATTTCCACAAAATAATCATTAATGTATTAAAAATATTTTTCATATGCATTTGATTTTTTTTTCCTTGTTTTCTTTCTAAACAGGACACAGACAAACTTTCAAGGAAACAAAGAATTCGAGGAGCTTAATTTCACAGTAGAATCTGTTGTCTCCGAGTCTTCAGATAATATTGAATATCCGACAGAACCTGAATATGTGGAGCCATCTGTTATTCACGTTATGCCCTCATGTGAATCACTTTTATCACCTGCATCAAGCTCCAGACAAATCTTAGGTAACACTAATTCAAATAATAATGATGAAAATACTCCTAGAAGGAAGAAAAGAAAAAAAAAAAGAAACAATTGAAAGTGCATTGCTTTCTGTTATTGATGAAACGAATAAATATTTAAAAAATCACCATCGATGTGAAAATGATGATGACGATGATGATAAACTATTTTTATTGAGTCTCCATAGTGATTTGAAAAAAATGACTGATGAAAAAAAATTGGAAACGAAAATACAATTTTTACAAATTATGGCAAGAAATAAATGAAATTATTTGTACATAACACTAATCAGTTGTTTTATTGTTTTATTTACATATTTCATAAATATTTTCAAAAAATAAATTTACACAATAAATGCTTTCCTTTCTTGCCATGGTACTGCTCCTTCTGCAGAAAAATATTCACAAAAATTATCTCGAACTGCAGATGCAGCACGGGATGAATTATTGGCCCCTAGACGGCCAAGAGGTTGCCATGTAAATTCTTCTGTTCTCCACATACCTTCTTTAATGGTGGCATTTGAAAGAAGAGAATCAGCAAAGTTCACTAGACAGTATTTCTTAGCTGCCTTTCCCAACTCATTTTTCATTAAGTAATTATGAAGGCAACAGCATGCCAAAACTACTTTATTAGCATGCTCTGGGTTCAGGGCAATTTCAGTACGAAGTACTCTCCACCTAGACGCCAATATGCCGAAAGCATTTTCAACGCACCTCCTTGCTCGAGAAAGTCTGTAATTAAAAATTTTTCTTTCATTCGACAGAAATTTGCCAGGATAAGGGCGTAAAATATTTTTCCTGAGTGGAAAAGCCTCATCTCCAACAAATACAAAAGGCAAAACTCGATCACTATTTAATAATGGTGTTGGATTTGGAAATGAAAACAAAGTTTCACTAACCAAAGCTTTACCTAGTGAACAGTTACTGAAAATTCCACCATCACTGATGCGTCCATAGTTGCCTGAATCAACATAAAGGAAAGTGTAACTAGCATCTGCCACTGCCATTAGGACTATGCTGTTATAGCCCTTATAATTATAATATGTTGATTCAGCTGACGGTGGAGCTTATATTCTGATATGCTTACCTACAAGAAAAAAAAAGCAACAATTATTAATTGCCTAAAGAAAAATAATATACACTTTAATGATAAAAATTAATATAAATACTTTTTCCAATAATAAATTCAGTTCTTAAATTAGAAACTTGCAAAAAAATTCCTCTTTATATTAAAGTTTGTTTTTCATTTCACACTTTCATTTATTTATTATGAAACAATTCCAGTCTTTTGATATTTTAAGACAGCTCATATATCAAGTTAGATGATTCTGCAATATTTTATATTTATCTTTAAAAAGAATCTTCATTTGCCTAATTTTAATATAATGCAATTTTTGTATTTCAAAAGTGCTCACTGACAAATAAATATGGAATGCAAGACATAATACATACCATCGATTGCACCAACACAGTTGGGAAAATTCCATTTATATTCAAAACCTTCTGCTATTACAGCCCATTCATCTGATGATGCTGGTATAGCCATAACCAGTGGCTGTAAGACTTGCCATATGACATCACAGGTCTCTCGAATAATATGTGAAACTGAAGATTTAGAAACACGGAAAGTGTATGCCAGGTCTGTATAATTAGTTCCAGATGCTAGAAATCTACAAAAACATTCTGAATCAATAATTAAATTTTTGCAGTTTTAAAAACATGTTGTATAAAAATGAACAAAGGGCAATCTGTAGCAGTATGCAAGTTTTAAAAAAGGTTCTTTTTTGGGGGGGAGCTCAGTTTCAAAGAGATTGCAATTTTCTTTCTTATTATTAAACCACAGAAAATAAATGCTTTATTTATGTAACTTATTTTGATAAAATTATGTTCCTATTCATAATTTTTTAAATGCATTACAAATTTTAAAAAAAAATATGAATTTTAAAAAGTTCAATTAGACAGAAGTATAAAATGTTCTGACAAGAACATTAATTTTCAATTATATATACTACACAAAACTGGAATTAGATGTAATAAAGACTTTCAAATAGAGCTGGTGCCAGAGCATATGCAACCAGGGTGACCACACCAGATGGCAAAATTATTAGAATTTAGGAAGGAATCAGGTGGCAGAATTTCGGATTTGTGGAGTTTGCACCAGGCGGTAAATTGTCTAGCGTCGACACTGCTTTCAAAACAAATGTATATATTTATATTTACCTTAAACAGATGGCAAGTCTCTCAGATGCTGAAATTGATTTCCTAAAACGTGTTTCTTGCTTCTGTAGTTTATCTTGCAGTAAATGTAGAAGATGATCATATTGTTCTCCCTACATGTAAATTCAATAATATTATACTTATGAGTAAATTGAACATCAGAACTATATTTAATTATCTAATTAATATAAAAACAAATACGAAATAGTTTATATTGTGCTAAAATGATTAGCCAAAGTAAGAGAAAATAATTTTGTTGTCTTGAAAAATTGCTTGAAGTATAATCTTACTATTTCTAACAATTAACACTTTTAGCGATTAATCGCATGTTATTAACAAAAATAACATAAACTCCATAATTAGAAATGATTTCAGCCTTCTGTGAAGATGATTACCTTCAACATGATTATTGATTATACCTGCCTAAAGGTAACCCTACTAACCTAAATAATGTCATCAGGAAGATTTTTTAAGGTAAACTAATTTACATTCATATCTTGGACAGATATGCACAAAATGCCTATGTTCTAAACCCTTTCATCAGGTATTGAACAATTAATGTTCAGTGTTTTTATTTATTTAGCCACCGACGGAGATATTATAGCAACCTTCAGAGAATATGGTTATCTGTGATTGTCATTACCAATGTTTGTTTATATTCTCAGGAATACTTTTGACTATTGAAGGTGCTCAACATGAGGGGCATCACTATATACTATATTGCCGAAATATATACTGTGTTGCTGCAACTATGATCAGTGAAAAATATTCAGTTATTTATCTTACAAATTTGAAAAAATAAAATATGATAATTCTGATTAAAAGGAAAATTACTCTCCATTTCAATTTCACTCTTATACTCTAATAATTGCTTAATTTTTCAGGTAGTAGAATTTCATTAAATAATCTATTTTGATACAATTATTCTTACATTCTTTTAGAGGTTAAGTGTTTTTCATCATATTACTACAATATTCTCCAAAAATGATTTTTTAAAATATTGACATGATTTAATTTTATTGCTCATTTGTCAAATATAAAACACAGGTGGAACAGGAATGCAGAAAATCTTTTAAAAGCAAGTCTTTTTATGGATCTCCCAAATTCTCTAGAATATATTATTTAAAAGCCTAATTATTTTATATTTCTGGTTCTACAAAAGTATTTTCATGACAAAGTGAAGCAATACTAATAAAATTTATGACAGTAATAATTAAAAAATCTACGGATACAGAATGCTGCGTATTTTCTAACAGAGGAACATATCCTAATACACGATAGTGCATTAAAATGTTGACTGTCCAACATCTGGCACATCTAGTAATTTTACATTATACTCCATATGATATTATGTTTCATTAAGGTAATCGAATTATAAACAACCTTCATTAATAATGCGCTTAATAAACTAATTAGTTATAACTAATGCTAGTCCATAATTATATAAAAAATAAAGGCTAATCTTTGGAATATGGTAACAGGTAGTTTGGCGACATTTTGGTAAGGCGATAAAGGTTACTAGCTAGGACTTTAGCAGTGTACATGGATAAAGTCAAGAGTGTGCGCAATGCCATTTTTGTGCAATTCTGAGATGTTTTTTCAAGTGAAAATAGGTCGACGTGTACATGGATGATACCGTGTATGTGCAATTCTAAAAAACGCGGCAAGCAGTGGGCGATTCTGCACTTTCTCCCAATTTCGCACCTAATCTTCGTCATGATTAAGCACTTTTGTGTCCATAAAAATTCTAGCATAAGCGTAATTCGGCTAGCAGATTGTTGGAATAAAATGTTGAGTAAAAAAAAAAAAAAAATAAAAAAAAAGCCTTTACTTCGTGAAAACAAAATGGCGTCTCCCCCCCAAAAAAAAAAAAACTAGCAGGTTGCTGTAGCAGGGTTGGTCGCCAAAAAAAATCGCCGAGTTACCATAATACAAAGATTAACCAAAATAAACATTGAAATAATTCATTTTGTCGGTAATTAAATCGCAATGTAATCATTAATCCTATTTCCTTAGTATAAATTACTAAGGGAAAAAATTACTAATTTACTGATATATAAAAAGAAATATTTGACAGTCTTTCCTTCAATTTTTACTTTCAGGTTTTGCTAAAAAATAAAAATAACTTGCCGTCATTCGAGTATAATTGAAAAATAATTCTGGGTACTTCTGCCTCAGTGACGGAAACAATGCTGCATGAGCGGAATACGTATCTCGCTCTTGAAAAATTGACCGAACCCATTCCCGCCTTGGAACACAAACGCTTTTGTACAGCAAATACATACATATTAAATTACTTCTCAAATGCATAACGCGCTTTCTTTCTTCAGCTTTTTTAACTTTAGACATTCTACCGCAAACTTTCGACATTGTACCCCAAAATAGGAAATATTGCCCATGCGCAAATCAAAGCGACTTGATTGGTTGGGGGTAGTAATTCTTAGGCTTTGAGACTTACAAGTGTAAACTAAGGCTCCTCTAAACCAGGCTGAATCACTAACTTTTCTCTCTTGGCGAGGGAGGGACCGCGCTACCAATTTTGGCGCGTTTATCGCACACGCTGGCTGAATGTCTGCTGTTTTTTTAAAGATTTATTTTATAGACGCGCGGCATTCAGCGCACATAAACTTTTCGGATAATTTATTAATTCTCGAATAGTATATAGACGTTTTCACTTAAATAAAAATTTCGCGTATATTTTGTAAACATATTCAAAATAACTTATTCTTTAGATGTTTCAGTTTTCGTTAGCAGACTAAAATAAATAAGATATGAATAAAAACTTTCAATAGTGTCAAATGGGGAAATAGTTAAAGCGTAGAGTGTGCAAATAAATTTATCTTAATGACATTTTAACAAAAATTTCCATAAAAACACTGTAAATTCATACTAAAAAAATAACTTAAGAATATGTTGTCATTTTAGTCTGAGGTATATGGAAATAATTGTGCAAGACTCTGAAGAAACACTTTCTTTTAAATGTGTGAAATATTTCATAACATATATGGAAGAAGAAAGTACAGCATTCTGTGTTTTGGATGATTTTCACCAAATGTAATATAAATACGAACTAGAAACCGTAATAAAAAGTCCTTCCTCTCCAATCAGATCACCTTTGTGTTGCATTGTATTTGTAATACTTCTAAAAATCCAATTTTTACCTAAATTAAAAAACAGTTATTCCATAAAAGATAATAAATTTGAACGTATATAGAATGAATTTTGTAATTTGAGTTATGTTACAAAATAATTCATAGTTTATATATTTTATACTAATAATTTAGATAAAAACCTGTCCAATTTAAGAATGTGTGTTAACCACATTCTTAAATTGTAAAAGGACGACTTAACCCACGTAATTCATTTCAAAGCATAAAATAGCTTATTTTCTAATATTCAAAATTTCTAATAGTCATAAAAAGCTTATTTCTATCTTTCATAAGCTTATTTTCTATTTTACACAGCAACAGCATTTTCATGCAGTCAAGGTTTTTTAATTGCTAGTTATTATACATAATACTTAATTTTTAACACATTCTTATTAGAAAGCATAACTAAGAAACTTCTTTTTAAAGCACCACAGTGATTGCAAAGAATGTCGTTAAATTTACAAAAGTATTGAAGATATATTGAACAGCATTATAACAAGAAACTACTGTACAAAATATGTAAATTTAGCATAATTTCTTTTTTAGTATTTGCATAGTTTCCTCCAAATGAACCTTAATGGGAAGTTATCTTGCAAAAATTTAAAAGTATTAAAATGGCCTCTATTTAAGATGTAACTGCATTTATAATTATTTTGTAATTGTGAATAGATTATATTATTGCAATTAGATTATGCACTTACAACATAATTGCATAAAGTAATGAAATTAAGAGTTCACAGATACAATGTAATATAATTACAATGCAATTATCTAAATTGTAATTATAATCACTTATTTAATACCACAATATTATTACAATCACAATGTAATTTAAATTGGGTACTATATTTGTATACCCTCCACTCAAATGGAGGTACTGATAAGCCTGGAAGTTATTATCAACAAAAAGCCTGTTCAGGACAGTTTGATGACAATTTCCACCGGGCGAAAAGTACATTCTTAAGCCCAGGCAAATCATGACAATAAAAATCATTTAGTCTCATGATTCACTATATTTCAAACCCTAAATTTGAATTCTGCACCAAATTATTTACCTATATTTTAACATACTTTATGAATTATTAGAAGCGATATGGCAAATATCTTCTAAAAATAACTGTAAAATATTTGTATCCATTAATTGATTCAGATACACACTTTTATTATTTAAGTATATCAAAATAACAGTTTCATGTTCCTGAAATACAAAAAATTATGAAAAAAGTTAAAAGTAATATTCTTAGAAGCATATGATATTAGTCACCAGCTGCAAAATAGTTAATTTTTTGCCCTAAATACAAGTTTATTACACAGTAGTCAAATGTGTAACTTAATAACATGTTATATAAAAAATTAATGATAATAAGTTTATCAGAAATGAATTAATTCTGCAAATAAACTTTCTGCATTTGAAAATTTTCTACACCTGAGGGGAGGAAAGAGATCTAGTAAAATTAGATTTATTATAACTTCAGTTGGACCAAGCACCTTCTATATACTAAAGAAATCACTAAAATAATCACTAAAGAAATAAATAAAATTATCATGCTTAAAAACAGATGTACCATACCAGTTTTTTCCCCTTGTTACCCTTTACATTGAGAAATAACAAACAGTACAACGCTGAAAAATACTATCCTTGAAATTTTGTTTAAATGAAGAAACACGCACCATCTTTTTATTTAAGAATTACACTTCAAAAACAGATACACATACCAATTTATTTTCACTAGTCTTTATACTGATAACATGCCATATAAAAATGAAAAGGATTATCCTTGAAATTTAGATAAAATGAAGTAACACAATGGGAAAATTTATGCACACGGACATCTTTTCTCTATTGCATGTTGTCTGACATGATCCACAAGTGCCTAAAAATGTATCCAAAGAAACACATTTCAATATTAACAAAAAATTGTTTACAGATTAAAATTCATTTCATTTCATACCAGTATTATAAAGATCATGCATGAAACAAATCTGCTTTCCCATACTTTTAAGTAAAACTTAACTGAAATTTTATACTGGAAAATATGCTATATTTCTATATATTAGAAACAAGAAAATAATACCATAATAATATACTCATAGCCTAGCAGAAAGTAACATATATAACATCAAACACAGAAATTTATATACTCGTAGCCTAGGAAAAAGTAATACATATTACATAAAACACATAAATTATTTAATATAAAACATACATACCTTCTAAAATTATTTTACTTTTTGTTTCT